GATGGAGGGATGGAGGGATGGAGGGATGGATGTTTGGATAGAAGGAGGGATGGATGGATGCTTGGATAGAGGGAGGGATGGAGGGATGGATGTTTGGATAGAAGGAGGGATGGATGGATGCTTGGATAGAGGGAGGGATGGAGGGATGGAGGGATAGATGGAGGGGTGGAGGGATGGAGGGATAGATGGATGCTTGGATAAAGGGAGGGATGGAGGGATGGAGAGATGGATGGATGGATGGACGGACGAACGGGTCTGGGAGTGACTTTTGGCTGGGATCCCACAGATGAGTGGATGGATGGTAGATGAGAAGGAGGGAAGGCGGGGGAACGACAAACTGATTTCCAATCATGTGCCTTTTCTGCATCCCTTGCCTCCAAGTATACCACTTAGGAAATAACTTGAAGTAACAAGAAATCAGGAGAAAGTTTTATTTTTATTTTTTCTTCAGGGCAGAGGCCACAAAAAGTTGGAATCATTAGAAAAGGGCATGATGAAAATGTACAGAAGGAATTATTAATAGGCCAAATTGGACCACCCATTAGGATGGCTGCTACCAAAACAAAACAAAACAAAAATGGCCCATCCATACAATGGACTATTATTCAGCCTTAAAGAGAAAGGAAATTCTGATTATGCTACAACATGGAGGAAACTTGAGGACGTTATGTTAAGTAAATTAAGCCAGTCAGAAGGACAGACGCTGTATGGTTCCACTCATATGAGATCCCCAGGTGAGTCAAATCCATACAGACAGAAAGTGAGGGTGGTTCCAGGGAGTGCGGGTGGGCAGGGGGAATCACTGTTTAATGGGTACGGAGCTTCAGTTTGAGAAGATGAAAAAATTCTGGAGGTGGATGGTGGTGATTGGTGGTTGTACAATGTGTCGAGAGAAACATCGACGTGAGGGCAAAATATCAACCAGCTGCCTCCTGCAAGCCCCCTGCAGGGGATGGAGCCCACAACCCGGGCACATGCCCTGACCGGGAATCCAACCAGNACCGGCTGCCTCCTGCACGCCCCCTGCAGGGGATGGAGCCCACAACCCGGGCACATGCCCTGACCGGGGATCCAACCAGCACCCTCCCGGTGCACGGGATGACCCCAACCGAGCCACACCAGCCAGGGCAGTAACACTCGTTTTTAAATAGGAAATCTAAAACATGCCATTTAAGAAACATTCTACTCATGCATTTACTTGGAAGACCTTAAAACTAGACCCAAAGTTAAAATCTACACAAAATGCTCATGAGGACTTGGCTGCCCAGTGCCTCAAGGACTCTGAGGAAAGCATGTCGCATCCCAAAGGCGACTCGGAGGCCACAGCTGAGATGAGGAGAAGAGTCAGAGAAGATCAAGTACGGAAAGACCTCATAAAACAAGGCGGCACAAATACACTGTGGACGCATAAATGAATCTATTCTTCTCAGGGAAAGAATTTTAATCCTTTCTGTTGTGGTCGGGACATAAATAAGAATTTTAGAAAACACTCAGGTTAACCAAAGCTTCCAAATCATAAAGAAACTCCACATGCCAGTGGATTAACGTGTTTCAAAGAGTAAAGTACTATACAGGGAGCACAGACACTCCCCTGGGCCGNTGCTGAGAATTCGGAGAAGAGTCAGAGAAGATCAAGTACGAAAAAAAGACCTCATAAAACAAGGTGGCACAAATACACTGTGGACGCATAAATGAATCTATTCTTCTCAGGGAAGGAATTTTAATCCTTTCTGTCGTGGTCGGGACATAAATAAGACTTTTAGAAAACGCTCAGGTTAACCAAAGCTTCCAAATCATAAAGAAACTCCACATCCCAGTGGATTAACGTGTTTTCAAAGAGTAAAGTACTATACAGGGAGCACAGACACTCCCCTGGGCCGTCCTCTCTCTTCCACCCTCTGGGAGAGCGCCTCAGGCGTTGCAACAGCAGCTAGTGAGCACGGCAAGTGCTGGTGCGGAAAGAGCAGCCTTGACTGTGTTTCCATCTTAACTGCGTGATCCATTTCAATAAAACAGCCCTTCACTGGACACTAGCTGCTGTGCGGGGCTGTGGACACGAGCTGGACACCATCCCTGCCCCCAAACTGCTGATGTAGCAGGGGGTGGAAGTCATGCATATAAAACTGTCACCAGATGGGAAGTGCCACTCCAGTCACAGAGGAAGGGAAATTCAATCTGAAATTAAACTACAGGAGTAAGCCACTCAGTTCATGTGGCTAACCTGACAGCTCTCTGCCCTTCAGCAAAGCCAAAGACTCCGGGAGCTACTGAGTGCTCCCCACTTTATGCCACCCTAAAACACCCTCTTGGATTGAGGGAAAGAATGATGCTAATTCAGGGCCATTCCATGGGACACAGGACGACTCTAACAAATGACTTCGGCTCAAGAACAAGTAACTTTGGCTCAAGAACTCCCCATCAGGCCCAGACTTTCTTGGTCTGCGCTCTGCACTGTATTCTGAGACCCCATCCTGCACAGCTCCCTGCCTGTTCCTGTCCCCCACTTATCCCTCACAATTCCCCTCAGTTAGCCTCTTCCACGTCTCATTTAGTCTTGGTGTCTGCCTCTCAGAAGACCCAAACCTGTCCTGCACAAAGCACAGTGAGCCAGCCCAGGAGGCCATGCCCTCCTGGGACTGAGCCTCTTTGGGGGAACAGAGAGTAATCAACTCAGAAATACTTATGGGGTGGTGAAGGACAGATTCTTGGGGCCGAGTCACATATAGCAGGGCACGTGGCTTTGTTCAGCAGGTCTGGAGTGGCTTTGGGCTGGGATCCCATGGATGAGTGGGAGTTATAAGAGGTCACGGGGGGAAGTTGGTGGGAAGGAACAAGGCCAGCTGGAGGAGCAGCTTGGGAGACACTGGGGATGGGCAGGGGGCAGGCCGCAGCCAGACCCCGCAGTCACACTACAGGCAGGCCAGACCAGCACCACTCTTACGTGTGTGAACACTTGTCACCCATCATCCTCAGCTTTAGCTTCCAGCTGAGATGGTGAGACTAGGCCAGTGGG